TGAGGAATGCCACTCATCACTGGTCTCTGCTCAGACCTTGAACACTGACCTCAACTCTTCGAGTGCAACCATCCAGCCACGCATCAGTAACATTAACTACGGAAACTCCATATAGCAACTGTGTTGTATATCAATAAATTTGGCTAAGATTAGTCTGATCAGAAATCAGTAAAATAATATATAGTTGATTTCTAGGTCAAAATGCATAGTTTTGCTCACATGTACAAAAGTCCTGAATTGTGTTCCTAAGAGTAGGTACCAATAAGAAATTTTAAGCTGGAATAAACTACAGAATATAATTGAAATGTCTTCACAGTTTAAGAAAATATTGTCTGAAATTTTCATCCGAAAAAGCATAAAAATATCCAAGGAAATTTAATAAAAAGTAATCAAATAACTTCAATGAAAATTACCTGTGATGCTGTAACTGCCTCCAGCATATGCAACCTCTGAAGGACATTCTGCATGTCTTCTTGCAACCGCATCAGCACTATGGCAATCTGCTCATTGAGGCTACCCCTGGGTCCTCTATCTGATCCCCAGCGCTCTCCATCCCCTCCACTACCCATTTGTCCACCTTGTGAACCATCTCCTAGAGGCTGAAGTCGATGCCCTATTTTGAGGAAGAAAAAACAGACATAAAACACAGAATGGGCTATCAACTCCATTGAAAATATCTGATTTTAACAGTTCAGTCTTCTCCCTCTCAAACTGAATGTGGTACTCCTAATCACAGGCTACACTCAGACAGTTCAAAAGCACTGGGAGGTTACTGCAACATCATTTGAGATGTTTCCCCATAGCCTCAGTGTGATAGTGTCATTCAAGTCCTAGAACCGCATAAACATTTAGCAAAAAATTATTAATTCACATCCAGTCAAGTTCAGCAGTCAGCTCTGCCCTAGTGAAAAGAAAGTAAGATCTGTTTTACTACCAAGGGTAGGTGTGTTTCAAGTCTGGCACAGTCTGCAGCTTGAAAACAACACTGGAATAGAGTGATGAGAAAAGATAATTGTTTTGAAACCTCCTTTAAACTATATCCAGCTGACTTATCATGTTTCCACCTGCAAGTAGCAAACGTAAGTACAACAACAGAGAGAAGGGGAGATGGTTAGACTATATGTTCTTCATAATAGTTTTCAATATGTCATATTTGGATTTTCTTTTTAATTGTTGCAGCTGATTACATGTAAGTGCCATACAAACCAGCATGCTATCTGTATAAATAAAACATGGCTTTTTTTTTTTAGTACAAGAAAACTAAACTTTATCCTTGACTTTACAGATCATACCACTAGAACATGGTGCTGCTCCTAGGTGACAGTATCATAAGTATTACGGGATGAAAAAGAGCAGAGGTCCAAGATAAACTGAACATCTGGACTATTATGTGATTAAGAATCATTAAGTTTTAAGAATCATAATAGATAGTATCAGAATCATTCAAAGGTGTGGCCAACACTCCAGCTATATAGAAAACAATGCGTCACTGATACCCTTCCAAGATGTTCCATGGTTTCAGATAAGACACCATAAAGGTATAAAGGCATATGCATTTAAAAATAAATACGTAACTTGTAAGGAAACTCTTCTCATGCATAGACAGGTTTTCGAGACTACATTTCTAAAGACAGGTGCCACAAACAGCAGCTGGAGTTAAAAGTAAGCCAAACCAGAAGAAGCCAATATACTTAACACAAGATCTCCATAGCACACAAAAATCCTTTTGTAATCCTTATCATGAATGAAATAAATACTCTGAAGACAAAACTGATTGCTACCCATCGTCACTAGGATTTTGTTATCTATCTTATTGTGAAGGACAGAAGCACTATACAGCACAACTATCTTACTGGACACTGTTGACAAATGCTTCTCGGGCACCAGTAACTTATGGCAGTCAGCAGAGTGGGAAACACAAAAGCAGCATGCACAGTACCTCTCCCTCTTCTGACACTGTAGAAATCTGCTTTCTCTCCACCTTTCTTCTCCTTGTGAGGGCCCCCATTACTGGCTTTGCCATCTTCTCCTCCACACTTGACTTCACCTTGTTCTTGAGCTGCTCCCTCTACAGTATTTCCAGGTTGGAGATTCCCATAAGTCATGCAAGCACGCCTTGGAAAATCCGTATTTTCTAATGGAAGACTGTGATCTACATCCAAGAAATGGGATGAATGCTTTAAAGATCCTTTAGCTGATGTGATGATCTCCAAGGGCTACAAATTAACATTAGCAAGTAATTAAATTCTGTAAAATGTGACAGTTAACCAATAAAAAGGAAGAAGCATCATCTCTACTTTCACATTAAGAAAACAAGTTTGCCCAGAATTAAGACTTTTTTTTTAACAGGAGCAGTTGTTTTCCTGTAGAATGTGCTTACTATTGTCTAAATATCCTTTTCATATTGAAAAAGGCATTTGAGGCAAATATTCTCAAAACAGTGATACCACTTGGAAGTACTTCAGACACTTCCAACATACAGTAATACTCAGTAATCATTAAAACAGAACATTAAGATCTGAAATTGTTCAGCTTTCCCTTGTAAAATTGGCTTTGCTTCCTAGACAGTGAAGTGCTATCCCAACTTGGATTCACAAGCCACACTGTCAAAAGGCAGGTGCTATTAGCAAGCTCGAGCAGGCAGTGTTTACACTCACAGCAAAGAGATCACAACGCTTATTATCAACCTGTTCAAAACAGCTTAGCTGCACCCTGTGTCTCTCACCAAACAAAAGAAAGGCATAATATTCTATCAACTTCTCACCCAAAAATCAGCGCTATTGTAGGAAGATATTAAAAACGGATGACATACGTGTTGATCAGGTCACAATTACATGTCCTGCAACAGGACTGCCTTAAGGTGGTTCAAGAAACCCTTTGTTCAGTACAAGGACAAGCACTTGCACACGTATACGCTGAAGCAGACTGGGGACCTCAGCTAGCTGAAAAATAACTCCATGAAAAAGCCAAAATAACCAAAAGGAGAGGCAAAGAAACGGAAACTGCTGCCAAAATCACGTTTTTCAAATAGCAGTTCATAAATCTGTATCATCAGAACTGGAGGACAGTGTTCGCTACATCTTTTCCAATAAAATGCTGTGTTTGGTTCTTTAAACAAACCTCTTCTAGTTTGAATTGATTCATCTGTAATTCAATCTGTATAAATTATTTATATATACCTGAACATTTTTTATTTTGTTCTAAACTAGAACTTTTCTCATGGAGGTTGGGAAATTCTGACAAATTATCCACCCACTTCAATTAAAGAATCTCAAAGAGGCTTGAACAATACCCAAGACGATTGGGAAATCACCTAGATAAGACAGCTTGCAGCACTCCTACCAAATTACCTTTCCCAACATACTTCATTACGAAGTAAAGTTTTGATTTGCTAAAAGGAATTCTCTAGATCCTCAGGAAACAGCTGGATGAGAGAATAATGCAGTATTAGAGTGCTTACTGGTCTTTCTGATCCCACACATCATTTGTATATTCCTACCCAGAATCAGGAAACCGGCTGCTTGAGTACAATCTGCAAAGTCCACACTTACAACTAGACCTCTAAAGGAGGTCCAAGCCACTAAGTCAACTAAGACTACAGTTATTACAATAAGCAGGATCACAAATTCAGTCAAAACTAAGCCAGCACAGTTGGTGCCCACCTTTTATATGAAAGTCAGAGACGTCCATTACAGCTGAAGAGCGTGCAAGGGAACCCAGAAACCACTGTCATCTCCCACTTCTTTAGACCTAGGCCACTTTCAGGCACTGGCTTAAAGGCCACCTGCTGAGGCTTACTCATTCTAAGAAACAAATGCAGCTTTTACCAAGCCAGAAAAAAGAGCATGCAAAAAGCTCATTGTTTCAAAGACTCTCCCTCCTTCCTAGAGAAAACTGGATTCTGGTCCCTACCTATGTTATGAGACCCTGAATCCATTTGTGGACCCAGCCCTTAGTTTCTTTGTTCTGTTGTTTTTGATACCTTCCCCTCACAAATTCTCTGAGGGCAAGAATTTCAAGGCTTTTAGATTAGTAGTAACCAAGTTGTGAAAGACTGACAACAAAAAGACCAAAATCCAATAGTCCAAACAGGGGAAAGGCACACATCAGTCACTTCATTCACCTCTGCATGTCCAGGTTCACCTTGTAGATTGGAACCTATTTAAAAATAAGCATACCAGTTTCAAAAAGCACCTGGGAATACTAAGCCCCTACCTCTTCTAGTCCAAGTTGCTCCATAGAGTCACAATATACCTCACTGTCTGAATCACTGGTTAAGTGCTGAGCTGCTGAGACCTCTTCAGCATTCTCTTCATTTGCACCTGTATGGAAAGGCGATACAAACACAGCTTTGTAAATGTGAGCCAATCTTGGCCAATAGAAAAGCAATGAGTTAAAACATCTAGGTGAGCTTCAACTCATGCTTCTTGTTTACAACTGTCATCCTAAAGTTTGATTTTGACTAAAGAGGTTATATTAATACAGGAATCATAAAACTTTTACTAATGGGAAAGCTGTACCTCATATTGGCATTTCTGCATTATAAGTTGATAATTTTCATTTTACCTTGTTCATTCCACTCCTAAGCTCCTAAGTTCATTCCTTCCTAAACTCAGTACAAAGCCGTTTTGCCTAAAGTTATCTGCTAGTTTTAGAATGATATACTTAGACATCAGTCAACAAACTGGCATTTATAATACGTTCAGCCTTTGAGAATGACAAATAAGCTATTAGTGATTTTCATTTCAGTATGAATTAGCTTTCAAAGGCAGATAGTATTTGCATAGGTAATATACTGATTTTAAAAGAAAACAATCATATTTCTATGGTTCTCTGTCTCTGAACTCACCCCTCTCTCTGTATGAGACACTAAAAGAAAGAGTATTCTTTCTTCAGGTTTCTACAACTGAAAGACACCAGCGCTAGTATCCAAATCCTGGGATTAAGCTTTCAAGAAAAATGTTTTCTATGAAAAACACGTGTAAATGAAAACATGGTCTTGCAAGGACAATACCTTGGTGAGCACTGTTATTAGCTATTTCTAGGCTTGGCTCCGTTTTCTTTATTTCTTCCTCACGGTTCAAGCCATTCAGGGAAGATTTGGTCTGGATGCCATTCTGCATATCTGGGATAAAGCTGTCCTTGTAACAGCCATTAGCAACAATACTTTCCAAATCCTTAGCAGCTGCTGATTCTGCTTTCACATTCTTATAGTCTGTAAAACAGTAAGAAAACCTTGCAAATGCACCTAATAGCTCAAAACTTATTTCTTCAAGTAGCTAACTTCCTAATGGACTGCACGTATAATATATCTGCAGAATGAAACATATAAATGCTCCTAGATTCACATTTGCAGGAATTGTTCTGTTCTTGTAAAAAGTGTAAACATAAAATCTAATTTGCATAAAGAGCAGATGATATTTAAAACATATGCAAGCAAATCCAAAGTAGGTCTCTCTGATAAATTAAATAATCCTAATGTCCTTGGAGGGAAAAACCTGTATAGAATTCTAAATATGTACTTCCATTTGGTTTTCACTTGATGCTGGTATTTCTCAAAACTCTTCATGTACCCCCTAAACAAATCTCACTGAAAGTTCTATTTTATTTTCCTTGAAAAAAAAAAAAAAAAAAAAAAAGTTATTTTCAATTCTACTGTTACAGCCTGTGTAGCTACTCACAGCTCTTACAAACAGCACTGGCCACAAAAAACCAAAACAATACAGGGTATAGACTTTTAGCTAACCTACCAACAGAACTTTCTAGCAGAGTCAAAAATCGTATGGCATAGCTCACAAATCTGTACTAATTCTAAATCTTACAACCCAGGCTGAGACACTGCCATTTTTCACACATGCATCCGCATGTATTTGCACCTAATTCTCCTGAAGAAGTACAGCATTCATGATCCTTTGGGATTTTCTGTCACTTAGGTGGTTAAGAATAACTTTGGAAGAGACAACGGTCTAAGTGCAGAAAACATACCCTTTCCATTTAGCTGCAGTTCTTTTTCTTCCTCTTCACGAAGCCCTTCTTCTTCTGATTCTGCTCCGCTATCGCTACTTTCAGCTTTTCCATTCACAGCCTTTATATTTGGAGTGGAATTCATGACATTACTAAGGTCTAAGAAAAAATTTAAAGAGAAAAAAAAATGTATTTTAAAAGAAACAATCATACAACCCTCCCCCCCTTAGAAAAGTATTTCCACATTAGAAGTAGTAAGAGATAATACCAGCTTTATTTCTGTGAGCTCTTCCTTAATTGGTTTAATGTTTCTCTTTTGTGGCTCACCACAGAGTGCCTGACTACCAGTGAAGAGATCCTCAAGGATTCTGAGGAAGCCTACTGGAAAGAGACAGCACGCTGCTTTCACTACCAAGTCTCAGACCAAGCCTATTACCCATATTTATGGTATGGCTGCAGGAACATTTTACTTAGGACCAATGAGGCCATATTCTTTTAAACCCAGAAGTCAGCATTTTTATAGAAGTACCCTTTTGGGCTGAAATGCTTCAAAAATGCTCTAAACTCAAAGGCAAATTTTACAACTTTCTATTCAACTGTGAGCAACAGGACTGTCACATAAGAAGGTGAATACAATATCCCATGCATGTTCTCCTGCAGTGATTTAAGCAGATGCAAAATGCAGTAAGAAGACTCAAGTTTATACAGATCTTTGTCTGGCAAAGAGCACACAGAAATAAATTCTCTGATTTCAGTGAAAAAGATGATGAAACAAATACACTGTGCATTTGTTTGCATGTCTAATTACATAATTTAAAAAAATCCTGAAATAGACAAAGTAACTGCTAATTCCTTGTTTTCCACATCTTTGATCACTTCAAGGATCACAAGTGAGCTACTCTGACTATACAAAGATTGCAACATAAAGATTCTTAAAAAACATGGAGAACATAAGGGATAATTCTACCACCTCCTGTAAAAAAGATGTGGTTAAATACATCCTGATGATCATTTAAGCCTCCTATGTTAGGACAGAGTGATTAAGGTACAAAGAGGGGAGAGTTTCTGCAAGAAACCCGCACATTTTACGTTTCTACATTCCCTTGTCAGAACCTTGAAAGATTAATTCTTAAGTTTAGACTTAACAGCAAAATAATATTCAATTATACTGGAGCTGCCAAACTAGCTCTGTTACTTTCTTTGCTGCATGGTAATTCACAGCTAAGGGTTTTCTGCTTTAATCTTGCAATGAGGAGCATTCCCATATTCCTCTAGTTTCAAAGCTTATCCATAGTGCTTTAAAAAAAAAAGAAAAAAAACAAGGCAAAATAACTTCCTGTATAGAAATAATGAATATGTTAAATATCCAAGGCCAGGCTGGATGGGGCTTGGAGCAACCTGGTCTAGTGGAAGGCGTCCCTGCCCCTGGTAGGGGGCTGGGAACCAGACGATCTTTAAGGTCCCTTCCAACCCAAACCATTCTATGGCTCATTCTATGATCCTGTTCACCTCAGTTTTACTGCAACGTATGGTCCCTGTGGGAACCTTGCATCACTGTTTTGGATTGATTTAATTCAACTTTCATCTGAAGATTTAAAAAAAATACTTCTTTACTGTAAAAAGAGAATTGGAAAAGATATTGTCAGTCTTGTAGACTACAAGAATATAAGAGATCACAGGCTTATTCTCTCCTCACTGAAGAGCACTTCTTATTTGTAAGGAAATTTGTTTCACAAAAGAAAAATCCCAACATATTCCCAGTTTATTTCTCCTAAGCATGTTTCATTTATTGTGAAACCCAATTCCCAAGATGTTTTTCTGAGAAGCAGCAGTGTGAGGAGGATAAGGTAGCAGTTAAGTCCTCACATAGTGATCATTAAGCACAGACACAACTCCCTTGGCACGGTAAGGCAGGCGTCACCCCTCCCTTTCAAACAAAAATGGGGTGGAGACACAATCATCCATGCATCTTACCCCATCGTGGGAGTAAACAGGAAAGACAAGACTAGGAGGAACATTTAGCTGTGAAGCAAGGTGAATTAAAAGTGTAAAGCTCCTTGCTCTACCAACAGTATTGTAAAAAGCTCCAGCTATACCATAAGCTTTTTCCTTAAGATTTACTTTTTTCTTTTTGAGGGGAAACTTTGAATATTCAAGCATGTTCTCTCCTCACTTAATTTCAGTAAGCAGATTATTCATTTGGGGAAACTTCTAAGTGATACATCAAATATATATATAAATAAAGAGGTGAAACTGAGAGAAAGTATCAACAGTAACAGATTTATGGTATCATGCCATGGGACACCTGAATAACTGAAGTCCATCACAATCATAAGTCTTCCACAAAGGCATTTTAGCAACAGTGCTGCTGAAGACCATAAAGAGGAATTGCTTTGATGCAGACTCTGAAGAACATAGCATTGCACAGTTTTGGCCACTTGAAATACCACACATAATGGTGTACTTTTCCTCAGAACCCTTACACCACTATCGTCATCAGGTCCATCCCCAATTGCTTTTACTACCTGGTAAAACCACAGTTTGCTGCTGTCCCCCTTGTTACTCTGAGTATCTGCCAAGAAACCAGCAATGATAACTAACACTGGGGTTGTAAGGTTAAAGACTAAATAGAGCCAACTAGTAGTGACTTCTACAGTCCCTGCTTGTAGGTTAATGGCAACTTCCTGAGGAATGTATCTTTTAATATGAATTGTAAGAGTCAAGCAAGCTTTTAAAACCTTATGCTAATCCCACCCCTCCCTTTATTCTGTTTACCCACTTCAACTGCAGGCCAAATGTTAGTCGCTTTCTCTGTTGCCCTCATTTAGATACTACAGCATCCCTCTTGGTTTATTATTTTCATCTCACTGCCTACACTGCCAAACTGTGAGATCTGAGAGAGTTTTCTAAACCAAAGCTGTACTGCTCTGTAGCTGTACAAGGAGTTCTATTCTACTGTAAAACCCTAGATTTGTTTTTTTTTTAATGCTATACAGCAAGAGCTGTGTGACAATAACAGGCAGACAGAAGGAAGAAGGATTTAACAAAAGAAAATGTGAGATGGAAAGGATGTGAAGAACAGACACACAGCCTCTCCACCAGCTTTCAGTAGATGTTTATTTCCTGGTGTCAGCTCTATTAAGAGATTCCCTAAGAACAATTCTAAATATATTTCCTTAAAGGCAGCATTACAATTCTTCGCAATGACCAGTATAACAGGGCCAAGTTTCTCAAAAGTATGTATTTGATTTCTAACTCCCCACATGCTTCAAGGCAATTTTTGTTACCCAGATGGGAGTTAGGAGCTTAAATGCCTCTGTGGATCTGCCCCAGCTTGATGGCCATTTTACAAAGAAAACCCAGCCTAGCAGGTTTCTCAAATGCCTTGTATTTTTGGTTTTCTGAACAGGCACATAATTCTTATACAAAATTAGCATGCCCTGCTGGAGCTGTACTGATGGTAGGCTTGGCACAACGCAGTATCCCCACACAAGTCCTACAGCCTCTTTTGTTCTTTGCAAACACCAGTGATCAGGAAACAGTCTACAACAACAGGTAAAACATATCATAAAACATTTGACTAGCTGTGTACACTATCATTTAATAAAAATTACGTGGTTTTGTAAAATACTGTAACTTTACTATCTGCTCAATAGGAGCAAAATCTTAGCTACTAAAAGATTATTTCCATGACCTACATTATATAGGGATCTCTTTGCACTCCCTACTTTACATAGACTTAAGCTCTGTCAAAATTTTTAAGTCAGAGACCTACATGCTGCACAAAATTGTTTTGACAACCAGGTAACTACAATTCTTTTCTTGCCATTACAACCTGATGTTTCATGCTTGTTAACGACCCAAGTAGGCTCTCTGCTTCAGTTCCAATTTATGCAACTATTTCCACCACACTTGTGTTACACAAATATCCACTTTCTTTTCAAAACTGATGTACCCCAATACTGCAAGGAGTGATCACAGTGAGAAAGGTGGGGTACACACAAGCATCCAGGAACAATAAGCTCTTCAGGTAGAAGAACAAGGGTTTCTATACCCTCATTTCCTTCCATTCTTCTTAATATAGCACACTACAAAGAAAATTTCCAGGAGCCCAGCCTGCTCTGTAACATCTGTTCTACTGTACTCAAATGAGTTGCCATCACAAAAAAAAAGATATTTTAGAAAGATCTGTCAAAAATAGAGACAGAAAACTATAAAATTCCTTACTTAAAATTAAAAGTGATAAAGCAGTGATAGTTAAAGTGCACTAATTTTAGGTTCTCTGAAAAATGTATTCCCTAACCACACAGATCGTGGCAGCCAAATCTTCCTCCATACAGTTTTCTTTTTTTTTGTTTAAACTTTACTATAACAGCAAAAAGAAATCTCCCCTCCTTTTTATTTTTCTTTTAGTATACTCCAAAAGACTACAGCCTTGTTTTCTCAGCATTCCTCTCTCTGCCCTTGTGTTTTTCAAGCTGTTACCCTCAAAGAGATGCCACTGTACTTAAAAAAAAAAAATCAACCAACAATATCCATGTCTTTATTTACCATTTATAAACATCAAAACAATAGTTTGTGGATAAGAATAAGCACAGACAATAGCAGCTTCTTAGACATTTATATTAACTTTCAAGTACAGTATTTAGGATTACTGACCAGTCACCCTGGACCTTTACACTTTTCAACATCTATAGAGTTTCTCATCTCCATCCATACCATCAGCACTTGTTCCCTCGAATTTTCAGAATACTTTTGATATAATTAAGGTTACCAAGTTTTCGGGTTGACTTAGATACATCTCCCTCCTCCCTGTCACCCCTAAGCGTTCTGCCAGTAGAGACAACCTGCCTGGGATTTCCTGATGGAGAGCAGCCCAGGGAGAACAGCAGCTGCCCCACAGCCATTCCCAGCACTGGCACGTCGTTCCACGAAGGCCATCAGACATCCAGAGTACACAGCAACCAAGCACACACAGCTCAGTTACACGGTGCATGTGCAGCAAGACCAACGGATCCAGGCTTTGCCAACTTACTGTCAACACCTTAGCCAATGATCACGCGTGAGAATGAACATGAAGAATAGTTGCTTCTTAGGTATTTATAGTAACTTGCAAGAATAGTAAGATCATTCCAGGATCCAGGATGTCCCCGTGTTTG